GTCTATTTTGGGGTGGGGTGTGTGTAATGATTTATTGATTTGTTGCTTTTGAAAAACCGTGGCACAGTGGCTCGTGTCTATAATCCCAGCACTTTGAGAGGTGAGGTGGGAGGATTTTGTGAGCCCAGGAATTCAAGACCAGCCTGGGCAACATAGTGACACCCTGTCTTGATTTAAAAAAGAAGGAACAAGCTGGGTGTGGTGGCATGTGCCTTAGTCTCAGGTACTCAGGAGACTGAGGCAGGAGGATTGCTTGAGCCTGGGGAGGCGAGGGCAGCATAGGCTGCAGTCAGCTGAGATCACACCACTGTACTCTAGCCTGGGTGACAGAGTGACACTCTGTCTCAAGAAAAGAAAAAAAGTAGAAGAAAAATTGTAGTAAAAGGTATTTGACATAAAATTTACCATTAGTGGCGTTTCATGCATTCACGGTGTTGTGCATCCATTACCAATATCTTGTTCCAGAACATTCTCCCCAAAAGGAAACCCCGTACCCATCAGGCAGTCACTCCCCATTCTCTACCTCTCAACCCCTGGAGACCACCAATGTGCATTTGAACTCTACAGATCTGCTGAAATTTGACCTTTTCGCCTGACCTGGTAGCTGAGGACTGTAATCTCAGCACGTTTGAAGGCCAAGGTGGGACGATTGCTTGAGACTAGGAGTTCAAGACCAGCCTTGCCAACATAGTGAGACCCCTGTCTCCTCTTCTTCTTCTTCTTTTTTTTTTTTTGAGACTGAATCTCCGTTGCCAGGCTGGAGTGCAATGGCGCAGTCTTGGCTCACTGCAACCTCCACCTCCCAGGTTCAAGTGATTCTCCTGCCTTAGTCTCCTGAGTAGCTGGTATTACAGGCATGCACCACCACGCCCAGTTAATTTTTTAATTTTTAGTGGAGATAGGGTTTCACCATGTTAGCCAGGATGGTCTTAATCTCTTGACCTTGTGATTTGCCTGCCTCGGCCCCCCAAACTGCTAGAATTACAGGCATGAGCCACCGTGCCTGGCCAACCCCTGGCTCTTTTGGAAAAAATAAGTAAATAAATAAAAGAAAGAAAAATATAAGAAATTCAACCTTTTTGACCTAGAAAAATGACAATTTCATATAGATTGACTTAAGAACCTTCTAGGATGGCTGGGTGTGGTGGCTCACATCTGCAATCCCAGCACTTTGGGAGGCTGAGGCATGTGGATCATTTGAGGTAAGGAATTCGAGACAAGCCTGGCCAACATGGTGAAACCTGTCTCTACTACAAATGCAAAAATTAGCCACCTGTGGTGGCAGGTGACTGTAATCCCAGCTACTCAGGAGACTGAGGCAGGAGAATTGTTTGAACCTGGGAGGTGGAAGTCGCAGTGAGCTGAGATCGCCCCATTGTACTGCAGCCTGGGAGACAGAGCAGGACTGTCTCACACATACAAAAAAAGAAAGAAAGAAAAAAGAAAAAGAAGAAATCTTGTAGGATGTTCTCATTCAAAGTTTCTCCCAGGAGGAAAACGCTGGTGAGTTGGCATGGTGCTTGGCTTTTCACAGGGTGGCTGAGAGAGAATTCCCCCTCCACATACACGCTGACCCTCCTCTTGCCTCCCGAGGTCTGCAGAGGCCCTGTCTTTGGCCCATAACAACCCCCAGACTCCCAAGGGATAGCCCGCAGCTCCAGGACACCAGAAAATCTTTGCCTTCTCAAATCTAAGACTTTTGTTTTGTTTTTGTTCTTTTGAGAGGGAGTCCTGCTCTGTTGCCCCGGCTGGAGTGCGGTGGCACAATCTTAGCTCATTGCAAGCTTCGCCTCCCAGGTTCAAGTGATTCTCCTGCCTCAGCCTCCTGAATATCTGGGATTACAGGTGCCTGCCACCACTCTCAGCTATTTTTTTTTTTTTGTATTTTCAGTAGAGGCGGGGTTTCACAATGTTGGCCAGGATGGTCTGGCTCTCTTGACCTTGTGATCTGCCCGCCTTGGCCTCCCAAAGTGCTGAGATTACAGAAGTCAGCCACTGCACTCAGACTCAAATCTAAGACACATAAAAATTTTTTTCTTTTTAATTTTAAATTACTTTTTAGAGTCAGGGTTTTTCTGTGTTGCCCAGGCTGGCGTGCAGTGGAACATTCATAGTTCACTGAAGCTTGACCTCCTGGACTCAAGGGATCCTCCCACCTCAGCCTCCACCTCCCACCTCAGCCTCCACCGTAGCAGGGACTACTGGCTTGCTTCAACATGCCTGGCTAATTAAAACAAATTTTGGGCAGCTGGATGCTGTGGTTCATGCCTGTAATCTCAGCACTTTGGAAGGCCAAGGTGGGAGGATTGCTTGAGTCCAGGAATTGTAGACCAGACTGGGCAGCAGAGACAGACTGCATCTCTACAAAAAAAAACTTATTTTTTAAATTAGCTGGGCCGAGTGTGCTGGCTCATGCCTGTAATCCCAGCACTTTGGGAGGCCGAGGCGGGTGGATCACGAGGTCAAGAGATCGAGACCATCCTGGTCAACATGGTGAAACCCTGTCTCTACTAAAAATACAAAAATTAGCTGGGCATGGGGGTGCACGCCTGTAGTCCCAGCTACTCGGGAGGCTGAGGCAGGAGAAATGCTTGAACCTGGAAGGTGGAGGTTGCAGTGAGCTGAGATTGCACCACTGCACTCCAGCCTGGCGCCTGGCAACAGCGCAAGGCTCTGTCTCAAAAAAAAAAAAAGAAAAGAAAAATAAAGAAAGTTTGAGCTGATAACCGGTTCCCACAGGCGGTTGGGGCTGGCAGGATGTGGGAGAGGAGGGGGTCTCCCGGGACAGAGAGCGGGGGAGGGGACTGGGAGGATGTTTTTCTCTCTGAGGGTCCAGGGTGAGGGTCTGAGGGTCCGGGGTGAGGGTCTGAGGGTCCGGGGGGTTGAGGGTCGGTGAGGGTCTAGCCAGGGTGAGGGTCTGAGGGTCCGGGGTGTGGGTCTGAGGGTCCGGGATGAGGGTCTGAGGGTCCGGGGTGAGGGTCTGAGGGTCCGGGGTGAGGGTCTGAGGGTCCGGGGTGTGGGTCTGAGGGTCCGGGATGAGGGTCTGAGGGTCCGGGGTGAGGGTCTGAGGGTCCGGGGTGAGGGTCTGAGGGTCCAGGGTGAGGGTTGGCCAACTCAGGGTCAGCTATAGAGGGAAACAGAGCAGAGGACGCCCTGGGTCAGACGGTGAGTCCCAGCCTCCTGTATCAGGAACAGTTTCCTCCAGCAAAGAGATTACATTCTCTAAAACAATAACAAAAGAAATATGTAAATGTATCCCTTGAATCCCTAAAGCATGCACAGAAAAAACCACATACTAAAAGAACTGTTGACGGAAGAGGTTCCAAGGTTGGGGCTGGAGCCACTTCCTCCTGCTAAGGCCTGCATGGTGTGTGCATGTTAGGATTTCATAGTAGGCCGAGCACGCCTGTAATCCCAGCGCTTTGGGAGGTGGAGGCAGCCGGATCACCTGAGGTTGGGAGTTTGAGACTAGCCTGACCAATATGGAGAAACCCGGTCTCTACTGAAAACACAAGATTAGCCAGGCATGGTGGTGCATGCCTGTAATCCCAGCTACTCAGGAGGCTGCGGCAGGAGAATCACTTGAACATGGGAGGTAGAGACTGCAGTGAGCCGAGATTGTGCCACTGCACTCCAGCCTGGCAGCCTGGGCGACAGACTCAGATTCTGTCTCAAAAGGAAAAAAAAACAGAGAGAGAGAAAGAATTGCTATTATGTCTGGGCAGGTTGGCTCACTTCTATAATCCCAGGACTTTGGGAGGTCGAGTGTGAGGACTGCTTTAGGCTGGTCAACACAGCAAGACCCCACCTCTACAAAAAATTTTTAAAAATTAGCCATATGTGTTGATGCATGCCTGTAGATCCAGCTACTTGGGAGGCTGAGGTGGGAGAATCACTTGAGCCTAGGAGTTTGAGGCTGTAGTGAGTCATGATCTTGTCACTGTACTCCAGCCTGGGTGACAGAGTGAGACTCCATCTCTAAAGAAAAAGTAAAAAATCGGCCAGGTACAGTGGCTCACACCTGTAATCCCAGCATTTTGGGAGGCTGAGGCGTGTGGATCATGAGGTCAGGAGTTCAAAACCAGCCTGGCTAAGATGGTGAAACCCCGTCTCTACTAAAAATACAAAAATTAGTCAGGCGTGGTGGCACATGCCTATAGCCCCAGTTACTCAGGAGGTTGAGGTAGGAGAATTGCTTGAACCCAGGAGGTGGAGGGTGTGGTGAGCCGAGATCGCGCCACTGCACTCCAGCCTGGGCAACAGAGTGAGACTCCGTCTCAAAATAAGAAAAAAAAAAAAAGAAAAGAAAGAAAACAAATAGTAAAGAATCACTATGGCCAATAACATCTTCCCATTTTACAGATGAGGCCCAAGGAAGGCTCAGGATGTGTCTCTGCTTTGCCTACCTCTGAAGCCCTGGGCTCTGCGCTTGGGCTGCTGCGGTGTCTGCAGAGAATGTGATCCTGGGCTGCCTTCCTCAGAGCCGACAGGAGGGAGGGATGTTTATCTGTCCCGAGGCTGTGGAAGGGAGGGGTTGGGCCCAGAACTGGAGGCCTGGAGGTGGCTGGGGCAGTTGGCATGTTGTGGCGAGACAGAATCCAGGCCACGACCTCTAAGGCTTTGACCAGCAAGCCACACGCAGGTCTGGCTTTCAGGAAACTGGGCCTTCCAGATTAGGGTTGGGGAAATGGGACCAGCCCTCCACCCATCGGAGCCCTCTCCGGCCTTGCCAGCTGCCCGGTAATTTTGGGTTCTGTGACTCATGGGAAGACAGGGGAAACACACCCTGGGAGTGAGACAAGGCCACTCCTGTTTATTTTACTCCTTATGAAGGTTGGCTGGGACCAGTGAGGTGGCAGTGCTCAGAAGCGTCCCATAGGAGCCCTGGCAGACAGGACGGACTTCCAGGACTCTACCAGCTGCCAGACCCAGCGGGGAGAGACCCCAGACCTCCTAGGTGCTCGCCGTAGGCCCGGATTGTGCTCCCAAGTGGCGTTTGACCCACGAGGGGACCCTCTTGGAAGAGACGGTAAGGACGGAGGCAATGAGGGAAGGAGGAGGAAGAGGGAGGGATTGTATGATCTTGGCTTCTTGGAATCGTGACTTTCCGAACCTGGGCAGCAGAAGTGGGATTTGGGAAGGGAAGTCTTATTAGGGCCACATTGGAATGCACATCAGAGTCCTGGACTCTTGGAATTGACTTGGGCAGCCCAGTAGCAAAGTTTTGGTCAAAGGATCCAAATGGTTTTTCACACAGGCATGCAGGAAACAGCCTCTGTCAAACCCATGGGAATTCCTGTAGCTTCGGGCAAATCTACCAAACTCACATTGCTGAGTGAAAGGGCTTGCTTGCTAGGCATGCTACAGCTTTTCTCTCTCTCTCTCTCTCTCTCTCTCTCTCTCTCTCTCTCTCTCTCTCTCTCTCTCTCTCTCTCTCTCTCTCTCTCTCAACAGGGTCTTGCTCTGTTGCCCAGGTTAGAGTGCAGTGGTGCGATCTTAGCTCACTGCAACCTCCACCTCCCAGGTTCAAGCAGTTCTCCTGCCTCAGCCTCCTGAGTAGCTGGGATTACAAGTGCGTGTCACCAAGCCCAGGTAATTTTTGTATTTTTAGTAGAAAAGGAGTTTCACTATGTTGGCCAGGCTGGTCTCCAACGTTTGACCTCAGGTGATTTGCCTACCTTGGCCTCCCAAACTGCTGGGATTACAGGTGTGAGCCACCATGCCTGGCCATAATTTTTTTGGGAATTTTTAGTAGAGACAGGGATTCACCATGTTGAACAGTTATTCTCTAACTTCTGATCTCAGGTGATCCTCCCACCTTGGCCTCCCAAAGTGCTGGGATTATAGGCATGAACCACCGCCCCTGGCCCCCTCAATGTTCTATCACAAAATCCGTCCACATTCTTGTGTGGGTCTGTTCATTCTCATCGTGTAGAATATTCCTCAGTGTGAACATCCCATGATGTGTTCATCCACTCCGCTGTGGGTGGCTTCTTGAGAAGTTTCCCATCCTGGCTGCTGTGAACATTCTGGCACATGTGTTCTGGTGAGGATATGTGTGCTTTCCCGGGAGGGAGGTGTATTGCCAGATCTCGAGGGAGGAATCCTCGAAGATGGATGGTCAGGAAGAAAGAATGTTCAGCCTTCTTTGATTCTGCTCCAGGGTTTCCCAGAGCAGAAGATCCAGCAAGACTGGATCCACAGACAGGCATGCACCAAGAGGCAGTCACAACAAAAGAAACCCAGCCGGGTGCGTAATCCCAGCACTTTGGGAGGCCCAGGCAGGTGGATCACGAGGTCAAGAGATTGAGACCAGCCTGGCCAACATGGTGAAACCCTGTCTCTACTAAAAATACAAAAATTATCTGGTGGTGGCAGGCGCCTGTACTCCCAGCTCCTCGGGAGGCTGAGGCAGGAGAATCGCTTGAATTTGAGAGATGGAGGTTGCAGTGAGCCGAGATCACGACACTGAGCTCTAGTCTGATGACAGAGTGAGAACAGAGTGAAACTCTGTCTCAAAAAAAAAAAAAGAAAGAAACAAAATGAAACATAAGTGCCCACTTAGTCACTCCGTTCCTCGGTTTACTCTTTTATTCTTTCTTTTACCAAATATTGACGGTGCCTGTGCTGTGCACCAGGTTCTGCCCCAGATGCTGGGGACACAGCAGCACCCAAGGCTGGAAGGGACTGATGTTCTGGGAAATGAGGACGATAATATTGACCTTGTTGGAAACAGATGCTGGAAACAGATGCTCGGTGCTGCAAAGAAAAATCAGCACTGAGACGAAGGATCTTTCAGCAACGCGATTTTTACTTCCTGGACTGCAGGAAGGGGACCCTCGCTAGCCATCTTGCCACCAGCGTACAATGAATAAAGGAAAGCAGAACAGTTTATCCCTTATGCATTTGGGGTCATCCTTACTGCAGTGTCTGATCTCCATTGGCTGGAGCCAGACCTCACAATCTAAACTAAAACCCAATTGGCTAATCACTTAAAACTTTTCTCAACAGGTAAAAGCAATGGAGAGCTGGGACAGGCCTGTGAGCACGTCCAGCACAGATATCCTGGTTAAAGAACAAGGACATAGAATGTACTACGTGCCTGTAAGTGTGGCATATCTAACAGCTACATAGGATAGGGCTTAACAAAGTTATTAGCACACTTTTTCTTTACCAAGAAAGGAAACTTGAAAAAGGAATTTTTCTGCTCCCACAGGCCTCAAGCGTTTGCGATGAGGGCTATATCCTGTTGATCACAGGTGCTCAATAAAAGTCATTGATGATTTTAATTATTATGAAATAATAAGAACGGTACCTATGCTTTATAATCCAGATTTAAGTACAGATGTCCTTTGACTTACGATGGGTTTATTTCTCCATCAGCTCATCATAAGGCCGGGCGCAGTGGCTCACGCCTATAATTGCAGCACTTTGGGAGGCTGAGGTGGGAGGATTGCTCACTAAGAGTTCAAGACCAGCCTGGGCAACATAGTGAGACCCAACTCTACAAATATAAGAAATTAGCTGGACCTGCTGGCGTGCGATGGTGTGCAGTCCCAGCTACTCAGGAGGCTGAGGCAGGAGGATCACTTGAGTCTGGGAGGCAGAGGTTGCGGTGAGCCGAGATTGCACCACCAAACTCAGCCTGGGAGACTAAACGAGACCTGATCTCGAGACAAAAACGAAAACAAAACAGAACAAAAACCCCATCATAAGTTGAAAATGTCGGAAGTCAGATTGCATTTAATACACCAAGCCTACCGAACACCATAGCCCACCTTTTTTTTTTTCTGAGATGGAGTCTTGCTCTGTCGCCCAGCCTGGAGTGCAATGGCACAATGTCGGCTCACTGCAACCTCCGCCTCCCGGGTTCAAGCGATTCCTCTCCTGCCTCAGCCTCCCAAGTAGCTGGGACTACACGTGCGTGCCACCATGCTCAGCTAATTTTTTATATTTTTAGTAGAGATGGTTTTCATCATGTTAGCCAGGATGGTCTCCATCTCCTGACCTTGTGATCTGCCCTCCTTGGCCTCCCAAAGTCCTGGGATTACAGGAGAGAGCCACCGCGCCTGGCCTTTGTTTTTTTTTTTTTTTTTTTTGAGACAGGGTCTCATTCTGTTGTCCAGGCTGGAGTGCAGTGGCATGATTTTGGCTCACTACAGCCTTGACCTCACAGGCATAGCCTACCTCAAATGTGTTCAGAATACTTATATTACCCTACAATAAGACAAAATCATCTAAGCCAAATCCAACTTTTCTTTTTTTTGGAGACGGAGTCTCACTCTGTGACCCAGGCTGGCGTGCAGTGGTATGATCTCAGCTCACTGCAAACTCTAGGTTCAAGGGATTCTCCTGCCTCCGACTCCTGAGTAGCTGGGATAACAGGCACTCGCCACCATGCCGGGGTAATTTTTAAAAACATTTTTAGTAGAGATGGGGCTTCACCATGTTGACCAGCCTACTCTTGGACTCCTGGCTTTAAGTGATCCGTCTGCCTAGGACTGCCAAAGTGTTACGATTACCGGTGGGAGCTGCACCAGCCCCGTTTCTCATTATTGAGTAAATAATGGGTTTCACGGCGGGACTGACGCACTTTGAAATTTAACTACTGCTGGGCGTGGTGACTCAAGCCTGTAATCCCAGCACTTTGGGAGGCCGAAGCAGGTGGATCACGAGGTCAGGAGTTTGAGAGAAGCTTGGCCAACATGGTGAAACCCTGTTTCTACTAAAAATATAAGAATTAGCCAGCTGTGGCGGCGTGGACCTGTAATCCCAGCTACTTGGGAGGCTGAGGCAGGAGAATCACTTGAACCCGGAAGTCAGATTATAACCATAATTTCTCATTATTGTTATTGAATGGCCTTTAGTTACTAAGCATGACTTGTGCAGCCAGTGGACTGTTTTTGAGGCTTTGGGGATGAATGTGCAGATAGACAGGAAAACAGAACTCAGGCACATCAACTAGAAAAGATGAAGAGATGGAACAATGGGTGTTGAAAGCTTCGTTTCTGGTTAAAACATTGCAAAGAAAACAATATCTCCCATAGCATCGCTCTGGGCTTACAGTTCGGCAAATTCACAGCAAGTCTCCTGGATTGTAATCAACAAGGGCTGGGTAGGGTGGAGTCTTTGCAGGGTGAGAGGATGCCTGTGGACGGCGATAAGAGCGGCCAGCACATGTGTGAAACCCACTGAAAACCGGCGCTGTTCTGAGCCAGATGCTTCTAATTCATTGAATTCCTATGCACCTCCTAAAGTAGGTGTATTATTCTTCCCATATTACTGAGGCACAGATAGGTTAGGTAACTTGCTCAAGGCCACACAGCTGGTGGGAATTTGAGGGGTTTTGTTGTTGTTTGCTTGGTTGGTTTTTGAGACAGTCTCACTCTTGTCACCCAGGCTGGAGTGCAGGGGCATGATCTTGGCCCCCTGCAACCTCCACCTCCAGAGTTCAAGTGATTCTCCTGCCTCAGTCTCCCGAGTAGCTTGGATTATAGACATCTGCTAACATGCCAGGCTGATTTTTGTATGTTTAGTAGAGATTGGGTTTCACCATGTTGCCCAGGCTGGTCTCGAACTGCTGGCCTCAAGTGATCTGCCCATCTCGGCCTCCCAAAGTGCTGGAATTATAGGTGTGACCCACTGCACTCAGGTAGGGGGAGTTTCAGTTTTAAAATGCTGTACATTTCCCTCCCCTCCCCTCCCCTCCCCTCCCCTCCCCTCCCCTCCTCTGCTAACTGCAGCCTCGAACTCCTGGGCTCATACAATCCTCCACCCCAGTCTTTGAAAATGTTGGGATTACAGGCATGAACTACTATGCCCAGCTAGTTTTAAAATTTTTTGTAGAGACGGAGGGTCTCACTATGCTGCCTAGGCTGGTCTTGAACTCTTGGCCACACACAGTCCTTCCTCCTTAGCCTTGCAATGTACTGAAATCACAGGTGTGAGCCACTGCACCTTGCAAAATTCTACACACCTTTTGCTCTAGGGATAAAAGTCATTTGAAAGTAGAATGCCAGGCTTCAAACACACACACCAGTGGCCTGGCCTGTTCACGGCTACCTGGTGTGGGGGAGGGGAGGGGAGTGCCCCACTTCCTCTCTGTCCTTCCTGTTGCCTCAATAGCAGCTGGAGTGCTGGGCAGTGCCAGCCAACCCATAATAGTCAGCAGAGAGCCACAGGGCCGGGTCATTGTGACATTGTGGGGGTTGGGGAGGGCGGAGACTCCTGAGTCCTGTGCTCCCCACAGCTTCATCTACCTGAGCGTTGCTGTGCCCCACGTGCTGGATAGGTCTTGACTCCTCAAGGCCTCCCAAAACCAGAGAGGTAGGTTCACCCCATGACTCTTGTTTCCCCAGTGAGGAAACTGACACAGCTAGCTGCAAGTGTCACCCACAGTCACGAAGCCTGGGGCTGCTCAGGGCCTGTTGCCATACTGCCTGTCAGCTCTCCAGAGCCGGAGATTTGGAGATGTAATATTCTAGGGCATGGGGTTCTGTCGAGGAACTGACACACTTTGAAATTCACTTACTGCCGGGCGTGGTGGCTCACACCTATAATCCCAGCACTTCGGGAGGCTGAGGCGGGTGGATCACCTGAGGTCAGGAGTTTGAGACCAGCTTGGCCAACATGACGAAACCCTGTCTCTACTAAAAATACAAAAGTTAGCCAGGTGTATTGGGGTGCACCTGTAATCCCATCTACTCAGGAGGCAGTAATCCCATCTACTCAGGAGGCAGAGGCAGGAGAATCACTTTAACCCGGAAGGCAGAGGTTGTGGTGAGCCAAGATAGTGCCACCATACTCCAGCCTGGGAGGCAGAGCAAAACTCTGCCTCAAAAAAAAAAAAAAAAAATATATATATATATATATATAAATAGCTATGATAGATTATGTGGCTTCTCAGCGCTGTCCTACAGCGCCTGTCTCATCGGGAATAAATGACGAAGTCTTTGTGTTGCCCACGTGGCCCTCCATGCTGTGGCCCTTGGTAACTCTTTTCTTTTTCTTTTTTTGGGATGGAGTCTCGCTCCACTGCCCAGGCTGGAGTGCAGTGGCGTGATCTCCTCTCACAGCAACCTCCATCTCCCTGGTTCAAGTGATCCTCTTGCCTCAGCCTCCCAGGGAGCTGGGATTACAGGCGTCTGCCACCACACCCAGCTATTTTCGCATTTTTAGTAGGAGAGATGGGGTTTCACCACGTTGGCCAGGCTGGTCTCGAACTCCTGACCTCAGGTGATCCACCCGTCTTGGCCTCCCAAAGTGCTGGGATTACAGGCATGAGCCACCGCGCCTGGCTCTGATGACCCTGCTGTTGCCTCCCATCCTCTCCTGCTGGCAGATTCCACTCCAGCCATACTGGCCTCCTTGCTATTCTCAGGAATGTCCATCATGTTTCCAGCTCAGGGCCTTTGCACTGGCTGTTCCTGGTGCCTGGAACACTCTTCCCCCAGATCTCCACGCATCTCTCCCATGGGTCCTTCAGATTTTTATGCAAACGTCACCTTCTCAGAGCAGCCTTCCCTGCCCATGCCTGGAAAACTCCATCATAGCCAGCTTCCCTGTGTGATATTTTTTCCATAGTATTTATCATCTTCTAAAATACTGTGGATTTTAGATTTTGCTAATTTTTTTTTCCTTTTTAAAAATTTTTAATTTTTTTTTTTTTTTAGAGATGGGGTCTTGCTATGTTGCCCAGGCTGGAGTGCAGTGGCTTTTTCACAGTTGAGATCCCACTACTGATCAGCACGGGAGTTTTGACCTGCTCTGTTTCCGACCTGGGCCGGTTCACCCCTCCTTAGGCAACCTGGTGGTCCCCTGCTCCCAGGAGGTCACCATATTGATGCCAAACTTAGTGCGGACACCCGATCGGCATAGCGCTCTACAGCCCAGAACTCCTGGGCTCAAGCGATCCTCCCACCTCAGCCTCCTGAGTAGCTGGGACTATAGGCACAGGCCACTGCGCCCGGCTTTTTTTCCTTTTTTGAGACAGACCGCGTATGCCAGCGTCCTGCTCCTGGCAGCTCTCAGTGCTGATGTCTGCCTCCTGTGTCTTGGGCCTGCTTGGTGGTCTATGGCTCAGCAGGTATGCAGGGTGCAGGTGGCCTGTGGGGCCAGTGCACTCTGCCATCCTGGCTGGAGTGCAGGGGTACAGTCAAGCTCACTCAATCTCCTAGGCTCAAGTGATTCTCCCACTTCAGCCTTCCCAGTAACTGAGATTACAGGCACCCATGACCACGCCAGGCTAAGTTTTTAAAATTTTCTTGTAGACATAGGATCTCCCTGTGTTGCCCAGGCTGGTCTAGAACTCCTGACCTCAAGTAATCTTCCCACCTTGGCCTCTCAGATTGCTGGGATTACAAGCCCGAGCCCCCATGCCCAGCCCGAATATTCCAATGTGGGATTTTGGAATATTCTAGAATTCTAAGATGCCACCGAGCTACTTTTTGTTTGTTTTGAGAGGAGTCTTACTCTGTCGCCCAGGCTGGAGTGCAGTGGTGTGATCTCAGCTCACTCCTCTGCCTCCCAGGTTTAAGCAACTCTCAGCCTCCCAAGTAGCTGGGATTAGAGGCACATGCCACCACACCCTGCTAATTGTTGTATTTTTAGTAGAGATAGGGTTGGCCTGATCTTGAACTCCTGGCCTCAAGTGATCCACCAGTCTCGGCCTCCCAAAGTGTTAGGATTAGGGTCATGAGCCACTGCGCTCAGCCTAGACATCCAATATCCTTTTTTTTTGAGACGGAGTCTCGCTCTGTCTCCTTGGCTGGAGTCAGTGGCACGATCACTGCAACCTCCGCCTCCCTGGGTTCAAGTGATTCTCCTGCTTCAGGCTCCTGAGTAGCTGGGACTACAGGTGCCCGCCACCATGACCAGCTAATTTTTATATTTTTAGTAGAGATGGAGTTTCGCCATATTGGCCAGGCTGGTATTGAATTCCTGACCTTGGGTGATCCGCCTGCCTCGGCTTCCCAAAGTGCTGGGATTACAGGCGTGAGTCACCGCACCTGGACAGAGAATTCCAACATTCTAAAACACTGGAGTTCTCACGCGGAAACATTCTAGTTTGCGAGGTGCTGGTGGGCCAGGCTGATGGACACCCTGGCTCTCCAGGGACATGGAGTTTCCTCCTCTGAGTTTTCATCATGTTTCTCTCCTGCCCAGACACCAGGAGCCAGGATGGAGAACGCTTCTGTCAGCTATGACTATGGGGATTATGGTGACCTCTCGGACCTCCCAGTGGACTGCCCGGATGGCACCTGCCTGACCATCGACCCGCTGCGCGTGGTCTCGCTCCTGCTGTATGTCGCCATCTTCCTGGTGGGGGTGCCAGGCAATGCCATGGTGGCCCGGGTGACGGGGAAGGAGGCCCGCTGGAGGGTGGGTGCCACCTGGTTGCTCCATCTGGCTGTGGCAGATTTGCTGTGCTGTTTGTCTCTGCCCATCCTGGCAGTGCCTATTGCCCGTGGGGGCCACTGGCCGTACGGGGCCTTGGGCTGTCAGGTGCTGCCGTCTGTCATCCTGCTGACCATGTATGCCAGCGTCCTGCTCCTGGCAGCTCTCAGTGTGGACCTCTGCCTCCTGGCTCTTGGGCCCGCCTGGTGGTCTATGACTCAGCGGGCGTGCAGGGTGCAGGTGGCCTGTGGGGCGGCCTGGACTTTGGCCTTGGTGCTCACCATGCCCTCCGCCGTCTACCGCCGGCTGCACCAGGACTACTTCCCCGCCCGGCTGCGGTGTGTGGTGGACTACCGCGGCTCTTCCAGCACTGAGAATGCAGTGACCTCTGTCCGCTTTCTTTTTGGCTTCCTAGGGCCCCTGGTGGCTGTGGTTAGCTGCCACATTGCCCTCCTGTGCCGGGCAGCTCGATACCGCTGGCCACTGGGCACAGCCGTCATGGTGGGGTTTTTTGTCTGCTGGGCACCCTACCACCTGCTGGGGCTGGTGCTCACCGTGGCGGCCCCGAACTCTGCACTCCTGGCCAGGGCCCTGCGAGCTGAACCCCTGGTCGTGGGCCTTGCCCTCGCTCACAGCTGCCTCAATCCCATGCTCTTCCTGTATTTCGGGAGAGCTCAACTCTGCCAGTCACTGCCAGCTGCCTGTCACTGGGCCCTGAGGGAGTCCCAGGACAGGGATGAAGGTGTGGACAGCAAGAAATCCACCAGCCATGACCTGGTCTCGGAGATGGAGGTGTAGGATGGAGAGACACTGTGGATGTGTAATCTTCCCATTTCATGACACTGGCTTCAGGCATGGCTGGATCCAGGAGCTCAACGTTGTCTTTATTTTATTCCTTCCTTCATTTAACAGACATCTGTCATGCACCTGCTATGTGCAAGGCCAGCAGTGACCAAAGCAGACACAAATCCTGCCCTCAGGGAGCTGACATTCTACTGGAGGAAGACAGACTATAACAAAGGAATATAGGGCTGGGCACAGTGGCTCACGCCTGTAATCCCAGCACTTTGGGAGGCTGAGGTGGGTGAATCACTTGAGATCAGGAGTTCAAAACCAGCCTGGCCAACATGGCGAAACTCTGTCTCTACAAAAAATACAAAAGTTAGCCAGGTGTGGTGACGCACACCTGTAGTCCCAGCTACTCAGGAGGCTGAGGCAGGAGAATCGTTTTGAACTTTGGAGGCAGAGGTTGCAGTGAGCTGAGATCTTGCCCCTGCACTGCAGCCTGGGTGACAGAGTGAGACTGTCTCAAAAAATTTAAAAAAATATAAAAAATATAAAAGATTTTAATAGGATCCCTCTGGTTGCTGGTGGAGATGAGACTATGGGGGCGGCAGTGAAGAGCCCGAGAGGAGGCTACTGCCGTGGTCCGAGCAGGAGGTGATAGTCATTTGGATCTGGGTAACAGAGCCGAGGTGCTGAGAGATTGACAGGTCATGATCTGTTTTGAAGGAAAGGCCATGTCCAGGCTCCTTAGCTCGGCATTCAAGGCTTCTCTCCAGCCCTGGACACACTTACTCTCTAGCTTCTCAGACCCTATAGCAGACAGAATCATGGCCCCGATGATGTCCACATCCTAACCCCCTGAACCTGTGAATAGGTGACCTTCCATGGCAAAAGGGACTTTGCAGATGAGATTAAGTGAGAGATCTTGAGAAGGGGGTGTTATCCTGGATTGTCTGGGTGGGCTCCATGGAATCACAAGGGTCCTTTTAAGAGGGAGGCAGGAGGGTCAGGGTAGCTGGAGCTGTGACGATGGAAGCAGATGTCACAGTGACGTGAGGAGGTGCCAAAAAATGCAGGCAGCTCCAGAAGCTGAAACAGACAAGGAAACAGATTCTCTCTGAAGCTCCCAGAAGCAACACAGACCTGCCGACACTTTTAGACCTCTGAGGTGCAGACCTTTAAGAAAATACATTTGTATTGCTTCGAGTCAGTATGTTTGGGGTAATTTGTGACAGCAGCCGTGGGAAGCTAATGCACACCCTTCGGGCTATAATGTTTTCATGCCTCTGTGCCTTTCCTGAAGCTGTGCCACTGGCTGGAATGCCCTTCTGATCTATGCTGTTCAGTTCACCAAGCAAGAGCCATCTGTGGTGATTCAAGTGGCCAGGCGTGGTGGCTCACGTCCGCAATCTCAGCACTTTGGGAGGCTGAGGCAGGAGGATTGCATGAGCCCAAGAGTTCGAGACCAGCCCGGGCAGCACAGCGAGACCCTATCTCTACAAAAAATACAAAGTGGTGGGGTGTGCCTGTGGTCCCAGCTACTCAGGAGGGAGTTGCTTGAATCATCCTTGAGGCAGGCAGATTGCTTGAGCCCAGGAGATGGAGTTTGTAGTGAGCCTAGATCGCCTGACTGCACATCAGCTTGGGTGACAGAGTGAGTCTCCATCTCCAAAAATTAAAAAAAATGAAAATTAGGTGGGCGTGATGGCGCCTGCCTGTAATCCCAGCTACTTGGGAGGCTGAGGCAGGAGAATCGCTTGAACCTGGGAGGCAGAGGTTGCAGTGAGCTGAGATTGCGCCACTGTGCTCCAGCCTGGCGATAGAGTGAGACTTTGTCTCAAAAAAAAAAAAATTAATATTTCAAATTTAGTTCCTCAGGCACACTGGCCATAGTTCAACTGCTCAATAGCCACATATGGCCAGTGACTGCCATACTGGACAGCAGAGCCATAGGACATTGCCATCAAAACAGAGATTTCTGTTTCAAAATGCTGTTCTAGAATTTACTCTCGAGTTCTACCTGGTCAGGTCTTTTAAATTCCATAGTAGGCCAGGCATGGTGGTGCACGCCTCTAATCCTAGCACTTTGGGAGGCCCAGTCCAGTTGGGAGAATCCTTTGAGGTCAGAAGTTTGAGACTGGCCTGGGCAACAGAGTAAGACCCCATTTCTACAAACATAAAAATAAAAATAAAAATTAGCCTGGTTTGGTGGCACATGTCTGTAGTGCCAGCTAGTAGGGAGGCTGGGGCGGGAGGACTGCTTGAGCCTGGGAGGTTGAGGCTGCAGTCAGCCATGACTGCATCACTGCACTCCAGCCTGGGTGACAGAGAGCCTGCCGCTGCATACATACATACATACATACACACATACACACATACACACCACATACATACACACATACATACACATACATACATACACACATACATACACACATACATACATACACACATACATACACACATACATACACATACATACATACATACACATACATACATATACATACATACACATACACACATACACACATACATACATACACACATACACACATACACACATACACACACATACACACACATACGTACATACATACACACGCATACACATACATACACACATACACATACATACATACACACATACATACATACATATACACACATACATACACACATACACATACATACATACACACATACACACATACATACATACACATACATACATACACACACATACATACATACACACACACATACATACACATACATACATACATACATACACATACATACATACATACACACATACACATACATACACATACATACACACATACACATACATACATACACACATACATACATATACACACACATACATACATACATACACATACATACATACACACATACACACATACATACATACACATACATACACACATACATACACATACATACATACACACATACATACACACATACATACACACATACACACACATACATACACACATACATACACACATACATACATACACACATACATACACACATACATACATACATACATACACACATACATACATACATACATACACACATACATACATACATATATACATAGTAGTGGCACCTGTGTCTCCAGTCATCACTCCAGAACAGCACTTTACACAGAGTTTCTCCTTTTTGGTTGTTTTTTCGTTTTTGAGACAGAGTCTCGCTCTGCTGCCCCGGCTGGAGTGCAGTGGTACAGTCTCTGTTCACTGCAACCTCCGCCTCCCGGGTTCAAGTGACTCTCCCACCTCAGCCTCCCGAGTAGCTGGGACTACAGGCGCCCACTGCCATACTTGGCTAATTTTTTGTGTTTTAGTAGAGATCGAGTTTCACCATGTTGACCAGGCTGGTCTCGATCTCCTAAGCTCAGGCAATCTGCCTGCCTCGGCCTCCCAAAGTGCTAGAATTACAGGCATGAGCCACGGCGCCTGGCCTCTCTTTTTTTTTTTTCTGCCACCATGCTCGGCTAATTTTTGTATTTTTTTGTAGAGACGGGGTTTCACCATGTTGGCCAGGCTGGTCTCAAACTCCTGACCTCAGGTGATCCACCCACCTCGACCTCCCAAAGTGCTGGGAATATAGGCCTGAGCCACTGTGCCTGGCCTTATTCTGTGACTTAGAATGTCTGACCTCCTAGAAAAGCAGTCCAGTAGGCCTCAGCCTTAACCCAGCTCCTATTCAAGATGGAGTCACTCTGGTTCACACGCCTCTGACATTTCCCTCCTCCCTTTCATAAGAGAACCCTTCATCCTAAGGGCTGTGAAGGGAGGAAGATCCATCTTCTGTAACTTCTTCAGGCTGAATGGGTGACAATATTCCTGCCTGTTAGGAACTATCGAATTCAGGCTAGAGAGGAGCTCCATCAGAAAGCATTGCTACTGCATATTTTGTTACCTGCAGTAATCAGAGTTCTCAGGCATGAATTAAGACCAAGGCTATCTTGTAAAATAAATTTTGTGGTGGGACAATTTATACAGCTCCTATGAGGTAGGAGGCAGGACTCAACTCTGGAGGTGGGGCTTGAATACTGGACCAAATTGAGGACTAGCTAAAACAGGGAGGAGGCAGAAGCAGCCTTTTTTTTGAGACAGAATCTTGCTGTTGCCCAGGCTGGAGTAGAGTGGGGTTCAGTCTTGACTCATTGAAACCTCCGCCTCCGGGGTTCAAGTGATTCTCCTGCCGCAGCCTCCTAAGAAGCTACGGGCGACTACAGATGCCTGCCACCAAGCCCAGCTAACTTGTATTTTTTTTTTTTTTTGAAACGCAGTCTTGCTCTGTCGCCAGGCTGGAGTGCAGTGGCGCAATATTGGCTCACTGCAACTTCCGCCTCCCAGGTTCAAGTGATTCTCTTGCCTCAGCCTTCCGAGTAAATGGGATTACAGGTACCCACAACTACACCCAGCTAATTTTTTTTTTTGTGTGTGTTTATTTTTAGTAGAGACAGGGTTTCACCGTGTTGGCCATGATAGTCTTGATCTCTTGACCTCGTGATCCGCCCACCTCGACCTCCCAAAGTGCTGGGATTACAGGCGTGAACCACCGTGCCCAATCAACTTCTGTATTTTTTAGTAGAGATGGGGTTTCACCATCGTGGCCACGCTGGTCTGGAACTCCTGACCTTGGGTGATCTGCCTGCCTTGGCCTCCCAAAGTGCTGGGATTACAGGCATGGGCCAGCACACCCTGCCCGAAGCAGATTTCTATGACACACCTACGATTGTGCCCTGTCATTGCTATGGCAACACCCAGGAGTTACTACCCCTTTCTATGGCAATGGCCTCACCACCCAGAAGTTATTACCCCTTCCCTAGATATTTCTGCATGAACTTTCCCTTAATCTACATGTAATTAAAAATAGGTATAGGCTGGGCAAGGTGGCTCAGGCCTGTAATCCCAGGATTTTGGGAGGTTGAGGCGGGTGGATCACCTGAGGTCAGGAGTTTGAGACCA